CAGAAAACATTTTTAAACTTAATTTTTCCACTAGGCATAAACTGAACCTTACTGAGGTTTTAATTTGACTCTCTGTGACTATTATTGACTACCTTTTCATATAGTTATCACTCTATTGTGTTGTTGCTATCAAGTTCCTGTTAATCTTCATATTCTCTCAATTTTCTTATGTCTCTATATTTGAGTATATTTTACTATGAAATTATAAGCCATTACTGGGGACAAGATTTGAATTGAATTTGAGTAAAACTTAAGTGAAAGAGGCTATAGATGAAAGTCTTCTAGGAAGTGGTTTCTTGTACCCAGAGAAGTAGCACTCTCATTTGTTAAGTCAAGAGATCCTTTTTCTTACACTATTTAATGTAATGAGAAAACTTCCAGAGTCAGGAAGTTTTAAAAAACAAATGTCCAACATTGAAACTCAGTATTTTGTAAACTTAAAGATTACAATAAAATATATTTAAAATAAAAAACATCCATAAGTGAAGGGAAATAAGGAAATGCCAATGGTGTTTGTTTTGACTTTAGAAGAATGTTTGTCCCAATTCCTGCCTTCCAGAGAAACAAGCCGTTCAACTGTTGAATTATCATCATGGCAACAGATGACCAGCCACAATTTACAGGACCCAGAAACTTTTACTAAAGTGTAACTATCTTACAATAATTTCTTTATTCAAATAGAAGTTTTAATTCAGGTTGAATTTAAACAGAACCAGATAATAGTATATTGGGGCCCTGGCCTAGGACCACCAATCTAGTGCTCAGGGCTACATTGGCAGGTTAAAACACAGAAAGAAATTATTTTATTTATTTTTTTTTTTTTGGCGGAACCGGGGATTGAACTCAGGCCTTGTGCTTGCCAGGGAAGCACTTATTCCACTGAGCCATCTCCCCGGCCCCCCCTTTTTTTTTTTTTTTTTTTTTTTTTTTTTTTTAAGAAATGTATTTTAGTTACAAGGGATACCAGAATGGTCACAGCCCAGTGACTAGCTAAGACACAAAGCACCCACCCATATCCTTGGACTTTATTAGGTAAACAGCATGATTGGGAGGGGGTACTGGTGGGCTATAGGAAGCAGTGAAGGTGAGCTCCTGATGGGATCAAAGTTCAAGGATTGAGGAAGAATGCATTTTTTATATTGACCATGGTTAACCAGTAACCAGATTGTCCACTAATGTCAAGTACTTAGCTAGACAGAATTTGCATGAGTCAAAGTCCTCAGCTGCCATGTTATCTGGTTTTGAGGTGCCAGGACTCCATAGACTTATATGCCAGTCTCAGTTCTTGAGCCATCTGGAGGTCTCTCCACAAGTCATGTAGGCCTAGGACACACTCTTGATTTATTCTTGTGCCAATTTATTAATATTAATTATTACTTGCTCTGTACCATATCAAGCTGGTGCTCAACAGTGATGTTTTAACATATTTGCTCATCTCTACATTGCATGATAGCACATAATGTCTAATTTCTGTCATGAGTTGAAGAAACAGCTGAAGATACATGAAATGAATTTGGGACCAATTTTTTAAGAGATTAGGTGAAAAACTTACGTGGTGGATATTTTACAGTATTATGGAAAACCTGAGGCAATGGAATAATTCATTTCCTGGGTCCAGTGGTGGTGATGAAATATGAGTTCCCTCATTCTGTAGCTCACAGAATGAAGGTGTTAGAGTATTTCTGGTCTTGAAATCCCATGGGATACACAAACAAGAAACATTGGTTCTTATGGCCAAATCCTTGTTTCGTTTGAGAGCACTGTGCCTCACATATCCCCCCTGGTACTTGGAGAGGACAAATAGTGTTGTGACCCTACAGGTTCTTACTGACTGCCTTGTGGTTATCAACATTATTCTTACAAGGGTAAGCTCTCTAACTTCTGCTTCAATATACAGTTCTTTCCCCAAGAGAGCCAAAGGCAATGAAGCAATTACATCATGTTTGACTCTAATTTGGAACTGGGGATAGAGACCGTCCCCTTATGGTTTGGAAAAATTATAACTCACCCGGGTTTCCCAGGAGCTATGATGAAATGGATATACGTATAACTATCTTGTTTGTTTTGACCTGTCAAGTTTTCTGTCTGCCTCAGTTGAACTTTGAGTCTTCAAAGACTCGACCTGTTTCACTGTATTTCCTGTCTTCTAGAGAGAAATGACAACCTATCTCATGACTTGTTAACTGAAGGTATCTGCACTCATCAATCTAAGGAGATTGTCAGAGCAAGAGTAGAATTTACATTCACTAGCATGGTTGAATATGTTTGTGTGTGTACATGTCTGTGTCCCATGTGTTCTACTGATCCCTTAATTCTACCTCATCCCTGCACCATAGCATGACAGATAACTCCAGGTAACCTATTTTGAATTATCTATCCAAATCCCAAGATGATAGGGCACAGCAAAATCTATATGTAAAATATAACTTATTGTAAAACAATCCTATCCTATGTCTAATTTTTGAGATGATAGGAAATGAACATATCTCCTTTGTTTATCATTAGCCCCATTGAATCGGTTGGGTTTCTTCTAAATTTTATACCAATTCTCTGTAATTTTCTTATCTCCACTGTCACAATCCAGATGGAAGCATGTACTAGTATTTTTAAAATAATTTTATTGAGAAACAAATAACAATGAAACTGTCTCAAAAGCAATTAGTAGGATAGTTTCAACTATTAATACATTGCATATTGTTGTCTTCTTAGTGGTTATTCATAGTAGAAGATGCAGACATGATATCCTGTCCAAACACTATTAGAACAACTCTTTCTATTCATTGAACTAAGAGAAAGTAGCTATATATTTATCCTAACTACAGTGAATATACAGACAAAAGATGGTCCTTCATTTGTATCCCCTTTTTTGTTTAGTTTTGTCACAGAAGGGTATTCCATTATCATTTAAATATTGTAGGTGCATGAGTTCAGCAAAATATTCTGTATCTCAACTAATGCAATAACATCTTATTCAGACTTCTGTTGACATTCTTTTCTTGGTATAATCTGATCTCTAAGCAATAGATAAGATAGTATTTAAAATTTTCAGCCACTAAAAACAAAAATTCAGTCACTGCCCTATATAGACTTTTTCTTGGGAATATGATTAGTGAGATTAAAACTTCTATTGTCATAGAAGCAGCTTTACATACTTTTGCCTTTCTACTATTCTCTAGCCCCAAGTAGTTTCTAGACTGATGGTGCCCTGAATTTTCTTTGGCTTTAATGTTCCAGCTCTATGCTTTCCAAAAACTTCACTATAATGCCCATTTTTATATCTTCATATGACAGACTCTTATATTCTCAGGAAAATAATCATGTTCTCCCCTTAGAAAATACAGAAAATAGGCTTCTTCTACACCTATCTTTTAATAATTTGATGTTATCCAGGAAAATCATGAATGTACATTTTCTCCAGTTCCATTTATTAGAATTCATCATAGATAGATAGATAGAGATAGAGATAGAGATAGAGATAGAGATAGAGATAGAGACAGAGACAGAGACAGAGACAGAGACAGAGACAGAGATAGAGATAGAGATAGAGATAGAGATAGAGATAGAGATAGAGATGCCAAAGATCAAAATGATGTAACAAAAATATTATTTATTGTAATTTTGCTACAAATAAAAAATATTAGAAGCAATGTACATGTCCTACAGGTGGCTGATTTTAATTTCATTATAAGCTGATTGTAATTAACAAAGTAATAAGCAATATGATTCATTGTACAATTCATATCAGGTAATAATTTTATATTAACAGAATGTTTTGACATAGCATGCTAAAGATATCAGAATTTTAAGATCATTTCAATCAAGCTGAGAGAATTGGTGCATTAATGTAAACGTTGTTAACTCCTAAAATGAAGATTCTTAATTTCAGACCCTCTTCAACTCTGAAAGACAAAAACTTTTAGATTTATGAATCTGTATAAAAATATGGGTTCTATTTTGTGCTAGGCAAAACATCTTGTTGACTTTCTCTGTTCTTTTGTGATTGTTCACATAGATATGTATATGACCAACTGATCAGAAGGAGAAGCAAGAAAAACTACTAGTATATGTATGAAACATACCTATAAAGAATCATTACATAAAACTTTGACTAGGAACTGTGAAAAAGGAAAAGTTATTACTTGGTTATGTCATAGAAACAGAAAGAACTTACTGTTTGGCAGATCCAGGAGATATCTAAATGTATCAAATATTCCTGGTGCTTTAAAGATTTGCATGAACTGGTTTGAATTGAGAAAATACACAAGAGGGAATTTAAAAGTAAAACAGATTTTTGTTTCCACGTTCCTTAAAAGATTTATCAGAAAGGGTGATAGAAGACTGAAAATATTAAGTAGGAAAAATTTTTCTTTTAGGAATAACTAATGGGTGTGACAAGGAGTGACAAGTATATTTTGTTATTGGTGTAGATTCATGCCTTTGAGGCCCTTGCTTTATCCTACTAGCACCTTCCAGATCTTGATATTTTGAAGAATTTGAAATTCTCAAATTTGAAGGATTTCTGTTTTGCAATTTACAAGCAGCCCACTAGATGAACTCCCTCATCTTGATGCAATTCCTAAAAATAAAGTATTAACTGAAATATCTGTCAGAGGTTAATAGAGGCTAGCAAATCACTAGAAATAATCGATTAGGTTTTGATTAATTGGTTACTCATCTGGCCTTGCACCTAATTCCTTATCTCAGATTCTTAACAGAATACATAGACTTCTCAAGTTGAAACCTCTTCTGAACTAATAATCATTCAGATAGTTCATGGTTCCTCAAAAGACATTGAGATGGTTTCCAGATGGGTGAATGATAATTGTCTTTGCTCAGATCATCATTAACAACCAATGTGGTAAAAATCTTGAGATATTCAGGTTAAAATCCACATACTGCTAGATCAAAATCACACTTTTATTATGTAGTTGTCACACTAACTTTTCATTTTCTCATATGTCCACTCCTCTTGCTTCTCCAGCAAAAGATTAGAAGAGAGCATGAGGAGGGGTAATCAGAGCAGTGCATCTGAATTCGTCCTTTTGGGGCTCCCTATACAGAAGGAGGAACAAGGCATGTACTACGCCCTCTTCCTGGTCATGTACCTGACCACGGTGCTGGGGAACCTGCTCATCATCCTGCTCATCAGGCTGGACTCCCGCCTCCACACACCCATGTACTTCTTCCTCAGCAATTTGGCTTTTACTGACATCTCTTTCTCATCAGTCACAGCTCCAAAGATGCTTGTAAATATGTTGACACATAGTCAATCCATCTCTTATGCTGGTTGCATTTCTCAGGTATATTTTTTCTTATTTTTTGCAGATCTTGACAGTTTCCTTCTAACTTCAATGGCCTATGACAGATACGTGGCCATCTGCCATCCCCTGCATTACACCACCATCATGAGTCAAAGTCTATGTTTCCTGCTAGTAATTCTATCCTGGGTCTTTTCCTGTGCTGGTTCTCTTGTGCACACTCTTCTCCTAGCCCGTCTCTCTTTTTTTGGAGACAACACACTCCATCACTTTTTCTGTGACCTATCTGCCTTACTTAAGCTGGCCAGCTCAGACACCACCGTCAATGACCTGGTTATTCTGATTGTAGGATCAATGGTTATTACTCTACCATTTGTATGCATTCTGGTGTCTTATGGCTATATTGGGGCCACCATCCTGAGGTCACCTTCAATCAAGGGAATCTGCAAAGCCTTCTCCACATGTGGATCTCACCTGTCTGTAGTTTCTCTGTACTATGGAGCAATTATTGGGCTATATTTTGTACCCTCTTCCAATAACACTAATGACAAGGATGTCATTGTGGCAGTGTTGTACACTTTGGTCACACCCATGCTAAATCCTTTCATCTACAGTTTGAGGAATCGGGATATGAAAGGAGCTCTGCGAAATCTACTCAATAGAGGAAAATTTTCATTGTGAAGGCATTTGCCTCATATAAAGGGGATTTGAGTCTTTCTGAGTCCTGGACATGCCTTCTGCACCAGGATTATGAGGCCTTATAAATAATTTCCTCTCAGAATTATTGTTTCTTAGTGAATTTTGATTTTAACTCATTTTTTCAGCATGTATTTCAACTTAATTGTAGTTTTTGTTTCTATTCAATTGCCTTGTGTTTCTTGACAGAATTGGGAACAGTTTTTACAAACACATGTCAATTTTCCCTTCTTCATTAGTATCCTTGCCATATGATTAGAGTTTTACTACAGTCACAGATTTTAGCCAATTTTATTTTTCCTGAGAATACTGTGCTGCCTTCTGTCCCAAAGTTATTTTTATTTTCTCAAATTATCAAAATATTTGTTCTGTTTTGGTCATAATTTTATTTCTGTATTTTACTTTATGATGGATTATGAATTCATTTTTTATGAATAACTGTAATGAGAAATTCAGTTCTAATTTAGCTTTTAATATATTTATTTTTATCATAAAATGGTACATATTTAAATGATACTGCCTGATGTTTCCACACATGCTGAATGCATAATGTTCACATCAAGATCAAATATAAATGCCAGGGAGACAGCTCAGTGGCATAAGTGCTTGCCTGGCAAGCACAAGGTTCTGAGTTTGTTCCCTGGTACCACAAAAAAATAACAATAATGATAATGATAATAATGATAATAGATAAGATCGTAACTCATTGTGAAGGCCCTGAGTTCAAACCACAGTACTAATGAAAAGAAAATCTTTCTTCAAGTATTTCTCATTTCTTTGCAGTAAAAATACACAAAAGTCTTTCTTATATCATTTTTGAAATAGTATTTTATCATTATCTGTAATGACTCTACTATGAGGTAGAACACCAGACCTATTTGTTCTATCTAATTTTTAAAAATATGCATATTTATTCAATTTAGGGGTCACTGTTTACTCTGAATTGAGATAGATAGTATTGCTCAATGGTTTAAGATATGAAGAAAGTGAAAAATATCAGAACTGTAAGCCAAAACTTAAAGTTAATCATGAATATGTAACTCTGTAAAGTTTTAGAACTTAAAAAATGTTTCTGTTAAGACAAAACTAATTATCAAGTAAGACATTTACTAATATATCTTTTAAAACTGTGCCTGTTATTAACAAGTTCCCATTTTCTTTGTATAAGTAGTATATTTATAACTGAAAGTTGAACTTTTCATATTTTAAAATGTAGTTAAACATTTAGTATTTGATGTAGGAAGTGAAGGCATCCCCAATTTTTATTTTTTCCAATTTTTTTTATCTTAAAGAGGAAAAAAACAAGAACAAACACAAAAACAAAGCAACATAGAAGAATAAAAGTGGTACAGAATTTCAAAACAAGAATAGAAAATTGACAATGGTCGCTATATTACGTATTATCAGCAAATTTGTTGCTCAGATTACCAGATATCCTTGTCATAGAATTGGCATGCAAGATTTGATCAAGCAATTAAACATAAACTCTTCCTTTCACTAAACCTTAATTTTTTTCTTGTCCATTTTACTTTTTTTTTTCCAATTTTATTTTTGAAAAAATTTTGGTACCAAGAATTGAACACAGGACCTTGTGCTTGCCAGGAAGATGCTTGTACCACTGAGCTATAGCCATGGCCCTATTTTTTAAGTTTGAGTTTTTTGGTACAACTTAGGTATACACAATGACCACATTCATTATACCAAATTTGTATCTGTACATACTAGATCTTAATTCTTCTTCTTTTTTGTATAACTTAGTACTTCTTTTTCAACCTTTCCCCATTCTTCTAGCTGTCCCACTCCTTCTTTGTTGTTTGTAATTTCTTATACATTGTTCAGATCTTTTAGTTATTTTAGAATGGTGGTAATGAAGCACACAACTCTTTTTTCCCAAGTGAGGAAGCTTAATCACAAATTGATGTAAGATGGTTTTTTTTTGTTGTTGTTGTTATTAAAGTTCAGGACAATGAGCTAGGTAGGTTGTGTATGGTACTAACCCAATTAAAAAAGGCAACACTCCATATGGTTCCAAATACATGAAAAAATGCTAATCAACAAAGATAATTAAAAAATCCATGATAAAAGTTTGGAAAGGGGAAAGATGAAGAGTTAAGACAAAGGTAATTTTTAGAACAGAATATTTAGCAAGCATGATAATGACACAGTACATACATGACATTTTGTCAAAAACCAAGGGGGGAAATACTTTCACCAAATCTGTAGAACGCAGTGTATGAACACCAATGTGAATGATAAAATTTAGTTAATAATATTTCACCAATATTAGTTGGATTGTAATAAATTTTCTACACCGTGCAAGAAATTAATAAGACAAGCTCTGAGCAGAGGTGGAAGAAATGAAGAATCTGAATGCTATCTGCTTAATTTTATTTTATTTTTTTACCTTAAACTTCCCTAAAAATAATCCACCAATTTTTAAAAACCTACAATAATGTTAGCCTCTCTATTCAGACTATGAGAAATCTCATTATTTACCTCTTCAACAAAATTGGTATTAATCTACAGAGTTCCACATGTTTTATAAGTTCAGTGAATGTCACATTTTTATGTCACTGTGCTGTTACCTTCTGTTTCCTTTTTTTATTTTATTTTATTTTATTTTATTTTTTTTACCTTCTGTTTCCTTGATCATCAATGCAATAAAGCATCTTTGTCTGTATTTTTCACTATTTGTGATGAATGCCTAGCTGCTTTTCCAAATCTTTATTTATTTATTTATTTATTTATTATTTGTATTTTAGGGAAGGGTCTACAGGGTGTTCAGGGTCTCACTACTGGATCTGACTCACAGTGATTCTTCTGTTTACAGCCTCCCAAGAGCTGGGATTACAGGCGAGTGACACCACACACAAACTCAATTGACATCTCAGAGTGCCCCAGGGGTGGGCCCGGCAGGGCAGGCCCAGGGATGGAACCCCAACCCCTGCGCCTGTTTGCAGGTGCTTTCATGCACTGAGCTATTTGACTGGGCCTGCTCTTCCAAATTTTAAACTCATACAATTGTCACTAGAAAGAGGACCCTTCCTTTTCCATTAACTTAGATGTGTCTAAGAGACATATGCTGTCCCCAGTGGAAAAGATATGGATGTGATTATAGAGAAGCATATGGGTATCTCCTTCTATTGGGTGGAAAGAGATTAGCTGTTGCTCTCAGAGATAGCCTGGTTCCTGAAGGGTCATTCTGGTACAGGGAGAAAAACTGAACTCGGGTGGGTGACCTCCAAATGATACAGGTAATCTCTAAATGATATAAGGGAAAAATGATCTCCTGACCAGACCTGGACAAGTTCATGTTCCCTAAAACCGAAGAATGAATTTTAGGAACAGAGGTTATGAGAAGAATGTATATATGAGGGAAAGGAGGCTCCTGTCCGAGAGAGGGGGACAGGAGGGGAGCCCAAGTGGGTTGTCCCCAGGAAGCTGTCTCTTCCGAGGACTTTTATAGTATAAAACCATGCAGGGCTAAGGTGGAGAAAGGGGGAACTCGCTTAGGTGCAGGTGGGGTGGGACAAAAGTATGGTCAACCAATGAGATTACAAGCACCATTGCTCAGGTAAAATTGATTAAACCCAGGACCAAATGGGAAAGGGAGTGTAGCAAGCAGCCATGAATGTTAAACAGGACTTCATCTGGTAGCCATCAGATAAGGATTCTTCCTGGCTTTCTCAAGATAATGATCAATTTGGAATGCTAATCTTTAGGGAAGTTAGCATTTGTTTGCTCTTTGGTCTTGGGGTCTGGTTCACAGCAGGAGCATCCCTCCCTCCCACAGTTGTAAGGTATCTTGTCTTCTGTGCTGTCTCCTTCAAGGGTCTGGCCCTGTCTGACTGCCTATAATACTTTTATCTAATTTGGCTGCCTGCAACAATTCTACAAAAAGCCAATCTATCCATGAGGACATCCACACTGACCCAGGTGGACATCGTTGTTGCTCTTACTGCTACAGAATTCCTTCACTGTGATTACACAACCATATCTTTCTCCTGCTTTCCTGCTGGGTGTCATGTCTTTTATTTATCACATCAAAGACAATCTTTACAATATCTAGAAATTAATACTTTCCCAAGTTTATTCACAAATGTCTCCCAAAGTTTAAAGAATTTTTTTTTTCAGAACCAGGGAATGAACTCAGGCCCTTGCACTTGCCAGGCAAGCTCTTATTCTACTATGCCATCTCCCCAGCCCCTTCCCACGTTTAAAGATTGTTAGCATCTTTCTTATCAGTGGTTTAATCCTAATGTACTTAATACTACTGTATCAATTTATGATTGATGTTCTTGATTTTAAAGTGATCCTTTGAGAAAGTCTCCTTGAAAATGGCAATTGATCCATCTTCTAGATAACAAGCAATAGATGTAGCACAGAAAAACAAGAGATGAGAAGAGGCACACTTGTATCTTCTCCATGGGGAGCAACTTATACTCGCATAAATAGTATGAATATGGCAAAGTTATAATCTCTGGCAGGATATATCAATGCTAATTACACACATCCACATGCGCCCACACACACAC